TCATTTTATCCTGACAACAGCTTTATTGAGATAGGTTAGGTTAGGTGACAGTGGGCATCATGGCTGATGGTCAGGAGTGGTTGGTGGTGCAGCAACCTCCTACCTATGCTCTCAGTCCAAAAGTCAGCTGTGGAAGTGAGCCAAACAGACCAGAAAAGGCTGGGCTGAGAACTGTACTGGAGGGGACACACTCAACTAGCAGTAGTATAAAGGTGTGGAGGGCAGAGCATTCAGTATGGGTTCCAAGCAGGAAGGGAACAAGGGAACAAGGAAGGAACAGCAGAAGAATGGGTAAAGAGGTAGGCTATGGGCAAGACTTACTGCAGTGGGAGAGGAAGAAAAAGGCAGCAAAGGCTAGCTACCTCAGTGGCAAATCAAGGAGGGAAATGGTTAAGTGAAGAAAGAGCAAGGTCACTTAGCATCTGGTGAGGTCACTTCACATCTAAATAGTAGGCATCAGGCTCATCATTTAAGCTTATAACCAGCTAGAACAATTTTTCGGAAGGGTGCTGTGATGTTAACATATGAGAGTGCTGGAGGTGAAATTGTTAAACAGGTTACCCAATCAGAACCCAGGGGGGTGGAGTCAGAGGGACTATAAAACCAGCTCTGGGAGGGCCAAAGGGGGAGTTCATTGGGAGTTGAGTGGTTGGTTGGAGTGGGAGTGAATTGGGATAGAGTCTGTGGGTAAGTTGAGTTAGTGTAGCGAAATAAGCTGAGTCAGGAACAGTTTGGGGCAAGGAAGGCAAGTAAATATCTGAGAGGTGGTTTAGTGAGTGAGAGCAGGAAGTTATAGATCTGGATAGGCACCCTATGATTGTAATTGACTGATACCGTTTATGAAACCACACGCTTGTTAAACTGCAATAAATAAACAGAAGTTTATGTTCCAATTTAACCCTGACTGGACTCAGTATTGTACCAGGTAGGGCCTGGGTGGTGGTAGCGAGAAATAAAGTGGTGGCACAGGGATCAATAGATGGTGAAACATCCGGGGACCATGTGTGATCGACACAGGTGCTACCAGTAGATGCTGTTGTTTTAAATAAGAAGAGAGGATGAAGTAATCACACTCAAAACCCAACATGACTGTTTCTGAGAAGGTTCAGATAATAAGTCTTTATGCCTCATTTTGAAATGGTTCATATAGTTGTTATTGTATACTGTACAGAGGTTTGTTCACAGTGCAGCTGTAACCTTCCTTAAAAGCCCCAACTTTCCCCTTATTTCCTCCTTGACTAAAATTCAGATAGCTCAATCATTTCCCTGAGGTGTTCATCCAATATGGTTGTTTCCCTATCTCAATTTACTGTGGAAACCAGGCTTCTTGTTGTTTCTTTTTATTTTCTAAAATAAGCATGCCCTCCAAATACATAAATCATGCCAGTGGTTCTCTTCTCTGTAATATCTTGTCAGAGCAGAGGAACAGAGAAGTATATTCCAAAGATGGAAGCAAAAGTCCTTTTTGAAATGCTCAAATTTCCATTGGCATCAGCTTATGCTGTGCATAACCAAGTATTTTTATGTTTCTACTTCTGGAGTGTGTGAGAAAAATACTGCTATTCCTTCCAGTTTTGAGTACATCCATATTTATCAGATCTGTGCCTTCCTTTATGTAGCATGTTATTTTTGAGAAGCACATCATTGTTTTTCTTTACTTGTTCATTTTCTGTTGAAGAACAGAATTCCATCAAGATCCTAATTGGCTCATGATTCTTGCTTGTTAATAAACCCAAATCTTCCTGTATTCTGAAGTTCCAAAAGCTTCTTTTTTCCCATCTGACATAACTTTTTTCTCTTTCTATGGTATGGTGATAGTGTGTAAACAAGGCCTTCTGAGGACCTCTTCATTGTTCTCCCAGGAGTTTCTCACAATGGTTACACAAATAAAATCTCATCTGTCCCTGAGCATGCAGACCTCTTCACTTTATTAATAATACCTTTCTATTTACTGCTGATCAAATTGGCTTATACTCAATAGGATGCCTTTCTCTTCTTTGTATGTGCTAAAGTGTTTTTAAACATTTCCCAGCAACAATGGGAGAATCTAAATATAATGTTGTGGTTGATGCACTCCACTTCCCAAACTCAATACTGTATAAGTGTTCAATCAATTGCAGAGTTTTGTTCTTTGTCTTTATTTTCTATTTCTGTTTAGACTTCTTTTGTAGATTCTAAACTACTTTGGAAGGGATTCTACAGAATTTGATTATGGATTTTCCCAGTAAATCCATTCTGTGATAGTTTATGATACATGTACACTTTGACTCAAGTGGCAATGTCTATGCCCATAGTAGGAGTGTGGTCACCAAAATACACATTTTTCTAACTCCCCAAATATGCATTTTTGTCTGTTATTTTCACCAAAGTATTCAGTTTTAATGTAGACTTTCCCCTAATATACACATTTTTTTGGTACACATTATTTGGAGAACAGCACCACAAATTCAGAGAAAAGTGAATTTCAAAGGATAGCTGTGTGCCAGTTTACATATTGTTTTAGAAAGTGTGAATTAGGATGTTTCAAATTAAAATGTGAACCAAACAAAATTCCTCTCCTATTTCTCATTGTTAGTGTTGTGCTTGTTATAATCTAGACTGCATCCTTTGTTTTAGCATTATTTCTTCCAAGAGCATTATTTCTTCCAAGCAGTTCCATAAAATGCAAAGCAAGTTATTGGAGCTGTAATATGCTTTAAGGTCATGCCATTGCCCAGGGCAATGTTTAAAGAGATTTCACTCTATGGGTCAGCTTGCATATAACTTTCAAGTGCATTCTAGGACACAATTTCTCCAGGGTAAACATCTTTATGATTTGTGTCTACATTACAGTGCTTCTTATATCAAGTGCTTTGGCAATTTAATTTTCTGATGTACATCATTCAGTCAGCGACAAACAGCAGAGGGAGAGCAGTGGATGATATTCAGATGCATATGAATAGATAAGTTTTTTTGTGTTGTTTAATTAGTCTTTGTCAGAAGTTCAGCAAATTAAAATTAAACTGTGATCTTGAAAGCACTGTAGGCTGGAACTAAACATGATGGTATACAAGCATCTGGCACCAAAAATAGCAGCTGTGTGTTTGGTTTCCCCATTCTTCCATAATGTCTGGTACACATACTCATGTTCAGATGTCATAACATTGTGTGCTGTGCCACATTCTGTTAGTAGCCAATGATTTAAAATGGGCTGGAGAAGCACACAAACAAGGATAATTTGTATTAAAGAAAATGATTGGGGAGACACAGCTTATGTTTTCATCACCAGCTGCGTGTAGATGTCATATCTAATTCTGCCTTCAAAATCTAAGCAAATCACAAATCTGGGATTCTGTTTTGTCTTTGCACATACATGTGCTTTCCACTCTTCTTTCCTTGTTAAAATAAAAGGAATAAATCTTACCCAAATGTCCGTAGAATGTCTGTGAAAGAATGTTCAATAGACTTTATTTATGTATAAGAAATATTTGTATGTTGCTATTTATAGAAATGTATCACAACAATAGAACTTTAAACCTTACATTAAAGAAGTTAAAACCAGACATCGGTAAACTATTGTGGAAAGGTGTATTCTTAATTGCCTGCCTAGGCCTGGCAGAATAGAAAGGTTTCCTGCATTGGCAGAAAAGAAATGTTTTCAGCAGGTGTTTAAAGGGCAGTCCCAGATAGAGCACATCACAACAGTCTAGCTTTTGAGTTATCAACATCTATACCACAGCCGTTAGGCTATCCCTGTTCTGGAATGGCCACAGTTGGTGAACCAGATGGATACCAGATTTCTACATCTGTCCGATGATAATTTGTTGTGGAGTCCAATGGGCATTCCATCATTCTCATTTTTTTTATTAAAAAAAAATCTGTATTTAATTCTTTCTGAATGTTGATAGTGACACTTAAACAGTTTCCCTCTATTGGTTTTTAAGTATGTAACTTCTGGAAGATCACGTCTCAAAGTGGGACAAATGGTACCAAAATAGAATAGCTTCTTTTCTTTTCTCAGTCCATAGAATACTAGGGTTCTTCAGCCTCAAGCAAAATTTAAAACTATTTCAGAATTGAAGAGAAAACATCTATGTTCACCTTTACTAATCCTTCACAACATCTGTTTAGTTGAACAGTAAGCCTGACCTATAAGGGAAACTTAGTAACACCTTTCTTGTTAAAGCATGGATTTTGGTTCAAATAAAACCTCTAAAACTTCTTGCACTTCCAGAAAAAGGTTTGTTATGTGTTTTATTGCCTGTAAAAGGCCAAGGAAGAGTAGAAGAAATAAAAATAAATGTGAAAAAGGGACCATTCTTCCTCTGCTTTATCAGAGTGGCCCATTAGCTCACTCTGTTTTGACAGCTGAAAATGGGGGATGATTTTTTACGGGTAAGGGAGGCCTCTTTGCTCCAAAAGCAGATCAGCAGGGATGCTTACGCTACAAAATAGAGGCTCTAAAATGTTAGCTGCTACTTCTGTTACTATTAACATCCACCATCAATGGCGGATGAAGACAGTAAAAAGATTCCTTGAGAAATGTTGTTTCCCAAAGCAAAAATGTCAGAAATTGGGTAGGCAATCCTTTAGACTCTAAAGCAAAGTTCAAAATGCATGAAACAGACAGGAATGTATAATATCTGAGGCACTGAGAAAAATTTGTTTGGCTGTTTCTGTATCTTATCTGATCCTTTGAGTATTCTTTTAATAATAGATTCTGCAGCCAGCAGTGGTACTTTTTAACTATGGTGATGTTTGCAATTGATGTCATATTCTGCTCAGTCATGAAGACAACTGCCAATGAACAAATGAAATACAGAGCACAATTCAGATGGTTCAGGTGCTGTTTATTTACTTTGAAGAGTTAGGCACACATTTATATTTCTCCCATTGAAACCAGGAAAACTTTAAAAGAGGTTAACTTTGGTTGGATTTAGCCCTCATTGGTCTATTTAGCCAAATACAGTCTATACTTGCTAGGAGTGGATCTCTGGGGTTTCAGGCATGGTGCATCTCTCTGGAGATGTTAGGGGTTGAAACTGGGACCTTCTGCATGCAAAGCAAATGTTCTACCACTGAGCTACAACCGTTTCCTTATGAGAGATAATCCATTACTTGCTTGCACAATCACTACATGTAGTGATGTGTGAAATCTGCATAAAGGGAAAAGCACTTTTGCATTACTATAGTTAAATAAAACATTAAAACTATTCAGATACAAGACAGGTGTTATCTCATCATGAGCCACTGCTTCAGAAATGACTAGCACACAAATCAATGAATTTGATGTGCACATTTCAGCAACATGCAGAATAGGTCACAAGGTTTAAAGGGGAACCTAAGAAGAAATGGAGGCAGTGAGAGATTTTACTTTCTTGGGCTCCATGATCACTGCAGGTGGTGACAGCAGTCACAAAATTAAAAGACACCTGCTTCTTGGGAGAAAAGCAATGACAAAGCTAGACAGCATCTTAAAAAGCAGAGACATCACCTTGCCGAGAAAGATCCGTATAGTTAAAGCTATGGTTTTCCCAGTAGTGATGTATGGAAGTGAGAGCTGGACCATAAAGAAGGCTGATCGCCGAAGAATTGATGCTTTTGAATTATGGTGCTGGAGGAGACTCTTGAGAGTCCCATGGACTGCAAGAAGATCAAACCTATCCATTCTTAAGGAAATCAGTCCTGAGTGCTCACTGGAAGGACAGATCCTGAAGCTGAGACTCCAATACTTTGGCCACCTCATGAGAAGAGAAGACTCCCTGGAAAAGACCCTGATGTTGGGAAAGATTGAGGGAGAAGGGATGACAGAGGACGAGATGGTTGGACAGTGTTCTCGAAGCTACGAACATGAGTGACCAAACTGCGGGAGGCAGTGGAAGACAGGAGTGCCTGGCGTGCTCTGGTCCATGGGGTCACAAAGAGTCAGACACGACTAAACAACAACAAAAGTGATACATCAGATATAGAGAAAAAGGCTGAGTGCGTTGGTTTTCTCCACAGCCTAACAATATTTAAACTACAGTGTTGTTGCTATAGTAATGGAAACAGCAGTGGCCCTTTTTCATTTCAGATTTGGCACTGTGTTGTTTTCTTCTGGCTGGGCAATATGAAAAATGATTTTGGCAACAGATTGCAGCATGCACACCCAGTATGATTGCCTACAGTTCTAATCTTCCACACAAGAAAACGAGGAGGAGTTTCACATAGCAATGAAGCATGTCACCATCTCCTTCCCATTCTGTGGCCATGGCAAGTGTGCAGTGGTGCCCTAGGCTTTCCCACACCAATGTTCTGCTCCACCCCACATTTACTCCTGCTCCAAGTGACAGTTGCATGTGGATGGAGGCTTGAATACAAGGAAGTTGCAGGAAGAAGTGGACCTGGCTTGCAGTATCTAACCATAGGTATAATTGAACCCATAAGCCCATAAGCTGCCATCCCTGGAAGAGGGGCAATTTTATCAGTCTGGCCAAGAGTTGCAACATGTTTTCAGACCTTGGAATCGACAGGAATTTCCTAACTTGGAGCAGAGACACACAGTGGCATAGCGTGGGGGGTGCAGGGGGGGCCAGCCGCACCGGGCGCAACATCTGGGGGGGCACGCTTGCACTCGCAGCTCTCTGCCCCTACTTGGCTCACTCACTCTATCTCACTGCAGTGCTGGCTGTGCGAATCCGATCCAAGCCGCTGGGTCGCCGCCCACTGTGGAGTGGGTGGGTGCCAGGCGTGCAGTGCGGAGAGAGAGCAAGGGACTATCTGGGGGAGGGACAGTGCAGCGGCCGCCCAGCACAGCGCTGAGCGCGGGAGAGAACCACACCAGACCAGCCCAGGCAGCAGCAAGAAGAAGCTGGCAGCGGCGGCAGGTTAGGGGTTAGGGGGCGCAAATTACTTGCCTTGCCCCGGGTGCTGACAACCCACGCTACGCCGCTGGAGGCACATTTAGGGGAGTGCAACCAATTCACCCATAGTGGGTGCCGAGTTGAGAAAGTGCCACAGGGGGCGCTACAACAATGATGTAGAATGGAAGGCAAGAGGTGAGGGGCCACCAAATTTTGGCTTCGCACGGGGCACCGCTGGAATTGGAGAGCCCAAAGTCCGCCACAGCTTAGGTTCTCAAAAGGAGATGGTACTGGGAAGCAGCAAGGTCCTGGGGGGCACTTCCACTTTACAGCTTAGTATTCTGTTATCACTGGCATGGATCCAAAAAATATTGGAGATCAAATGGAAATAATTCAAGGAGATCGAAGAGGGAATGCTATTTCAGTCTTTCCCTCACACTATGGCTCTATAGCATTGCTGGCAGCGGGGATGGAATGTTGGACTAGATCAGCCTTTCTCAACCTGTGGGTCCCCGGATGTTGTTGAACTACAACTCCCATAACCCCTAGCTAGCAAGGCCAGAGCTCAGGGATGATGGGAGTTGTAGTCCAACAACATCTGGGGACCCACAGGTTGAAAACCGCTGGACTATATGATCCTTGAGGTCCCTTCCTTCTCTACTGTTCTATAAATCTATACTCTAAACTGAAGATTGAGCTATTTGGAAGTGCCTATGCAGGTGTCTTTACAGCATTAAGGGACTGTTTGGCCATTTGACTATTCTGCAATGCCTTGCATTTGTAAATAAAGTAACACCTCATTTATCTGGACTTCCCACAACTATATTCCTTTTATGTACCAGATGTGGGCTTATGTACACCTACTTCTGTTTAGCTCTGTAGTTTTTATGTCCTTATGCACTGTTGACATACTTGGGTACCGAAATTAGAGATTCTGCTCTACTGTTTTTATTGTCCTACCATTTTATTTTATATTTGTAGATTAAATAGAGATGGAGGGAACACTGCATCAGAATATGGCAAGGCTGAGCTAACCCATAATTTTAACTTTATGGAAGGGGGAAAAATGTTTCATAAACAAGGAATGCAGGTCCTCATTTTCATTATTCACCAGAAGCAGGTTTCAGTGGTAAACAAGCTGTGTGCATCCCATGTGTGACTTCCCTCAAATAATCCTGGGAACTATAGCTCTGTGAGAGGTAAACTATAGTTCCAGGATTTTTCTTTAAATGTGCTATTTATATATTATCCTAGGTTGCATTATAAGAAAGGGAGGGGTATGAACTTTATTATTAATAATAAGAAATAATAATAACTGAATAATTAATGCATTGTGTGTACACAGTCATAGTCTATCATGTTAGCCTTTATGTTGTTTAGTCATGTCCGACTCTTCGTGGCCCCATGGACCAGAGCATGCCAGGCACTCCTGTCTTCCACTGCCTCCCGCAGTTTGGTCAGACTCATGCTGGTAGGTTCGAGAACACTGTCCAACCATCTCGTCCTCTGTCGTCCCCTTCTCCTTGTGCCCTCCATCTTTCCCAACATCAGGGTCTTTTCCAGGGAGTCTTCTCTTTTCATGAGGTTGCCAAAGTATTGGAGTCTCAGCTTCAGGATCTGTCCTTCCAGTGAGCACCTTTCAGGGCTGATTTCCTGTATAGTTAGCCTGTATAGTAGCACATAAAACACTGGGCTGGATCCAGAAATTAGTCACACTTCGGTCCCCTTGAAATAAATTAGTCATGTCTAATGTACAGATCAATTATTACAGTGGGGACTTGATGCAGTTAATGGACAGAGCAATCCACAGGTCCTGGAACAGAGATTATGTGGTAGAGAAAATTTCCACTTCCTATAGTCTGCTGGTTTTTAGTCCCCCACGTCTCTTTCTTGCCAAGGTCGTTTAAGGTGTACTGAGTTTGGGAGTGGCCCTTTATTTCTTTGGAATGTGGAGGAAGAAAGAGGTGCAGGATTCTCTGGATCCATGGCCTCCTCTAGAATTGTCCCATTTCAGAGTCCACCACAGTCCGTGTTTCCCTTCATGGGAGAACAACAGTGGTGGAGATTTCTGCTGCCTGTCATGAGCCAGGAGTCAGCTTCACCTGCTGAACAGCATCCTGAAGGGGAAGAAGGTGGAGTGGCCCCGCCTGCAGCTGTCCGGCATTCAAGGACACAGAGGAGAAGGAGCTGATGAGAACCAGCTGGCTCCAGCCTCCTCAATAAGAGCTTCCAGCAGTAGCCAAGTAACAAGGCTTGTAGTTCCTGGCGCTACCTTGCTGCTTCCTACTCGTCTTGATCCCATGATCATTGGATTCCCTGACCCTTGGACCATCTGACCACATGGATTGCTGTTCACCTGACCCTAGGCCTGGACCTGACTTCGGATGCAGACCCTGCCTCTAGGCAAATACACCTCAGAGACTGGTTGGCTGGACTCCCACTCCACTGAGCTCTGCACATTGTGGCTCAGCAATGAGACTATGACACTGCCCCTCCAGGGAACTTCTGAAAGTGGACCTCATGTTTTGCACACAAAGAAGGTCACCCACAGGCTCTAGGAGCTCCTCAGCCACACTACCTAGGGACCAATAAACTTTTGAACTGAGAAACTTATTTGCTCTCACCTTTTAGTTCAGCATTGTGATTCCAGTAGTAGCCATTCAGCAGCCTCTGGGAAACTACAAATCAGGTGATTATGGTGGCAGCCATGTTACTTACCCAGTGCCTTTTCAGTGGTAGCACCTTACATGAGGAAATCTTTCCCTACTGCCAAGTGTCTGGTTCCATCTCTCTATAGTTTTAGGCTGCTGGTTAAGATGCACCTTTCCTTATGAGATTTGAAGGAGCAAAGACATGATGAGATAATTGGATTGGTTGCTAGTACAACTATTAGGAAATTGCTATTGTGTTTGAGTCATTGTGTTGTTATTTTATTGTGTTATTTTTATGTTAGCTGCCTTTGTTGTAAACCGCCCTGCAGTTATTTCACAGGACAGTATATAATTCATCTAAATAAATGAATATACAAAGAAGTTCTATTTTTAGCCATCATGGCCAAGACTCCTGAGTTCTATGAGCATAAGGGTATACTTCTGCTGGTGTTCTGAACATAGAGTAATCCAATAACATTCATTTACGCCAAGTTCTAGTGTTTCGAGACAGGAAAGAGAGAAAATGTTTTCTCTCTGTTGTAAATAGAGCAATTTGCTGGTTTGCAGTCAGCTTCATTGTGATCTGGGGCTTGGTAC